TGGCTTCCGCGCAGACGACTGCGCAGTCGCGCCGGCCGGCACGTCCCGCGTGAGGGGCAGCGGTCCACAGGCGCAGGCACCGCCAGCTTACAGGCTTCCTTTAAATCCCAAATAGCTGCTCTAAAAGCTGCTTTTGGTGCCTGCCATCGCGGCCTCCGCAGGCTTTGTAAATGAAAAATAGCTACACTGAGGAGTGGGGTGGGCCGCTACTGCCGCGGCCTCCGCAGTGAGCCCCCTTTTCTCAAATTTCTACGATGAGTTTTGTTGCTATAAAAGGTGAGGGCGGCTGTCGCAACGGTTGTCACCTGGAAAGTGGGCTCTTCCAAAAGGTATCGGCACCTGGCGGCTGTCGAGGGGCAACGCGCCGGAAGAGCACTTCCGGCCCTGCCAACATGGCCGCCAGGCGTCCCCGTCCGCCTTTGCGTGGGGCGCGGTGTTGAGTGCGTCATCACCAGGCGCAGAGCACGAGACGCGCAGGCGTGAGACGCAACCATGCTAAGCCGGCTCCAGGAGCTGCGCAAGGAGGAGGAGACCCTGCTGCGGCTGAAAGCTGCGCTCCACGACCAACTGAACCGCCTCAAGGTGAACCCGCCCGCCCTCCATTCGCCCTGCGCGACCGTTTCCCCCGAACCCAGCCCACCGTGGCGCCTGCCTGCTGCCCGGTCTAGCCCTTGTAGCAGGCGCAGCTCAGGAGGTTGCTTTGCGAGGTTTAGGCCCACTCCCTCTGAACGATCCCGGCTGAACCCCGGGAATCTGGCAAGTGTGGTCCTCGATCCACCCCCACCCCGGCTCACGCATGCTGATGGCCCGCGCGTCGCGCCCGTCCAGAGCTCCCCGCCCGCGCCTCTCCGCAGCCCCTGCCCACTCGTTTGCGTTGGCGCTTGGAATGGCTCTCGTGTTGCTTGGCCGATCCTTCCGTTGTTGCAAGGAAGATAGCGGGCTCTGGGAGACTTTTGTCTGTCCCAAGGCCTACTTCCCAATAGCTCTTCTCAGCAGATGCTGAGTGCTGAGTCCATGGCGTTGAGTGGGATTTAGCCCCCCCTGGGTCATTTTCTGAGCCTGTGGGCAATTCGGCCTCAGCAACTGGATCAGGGCCTCTGATTGACATTCTTATTCAGGATCTTTAAATCTGACTGATTTGGGGATTACAGAAATCCTTTGTAAGCCGAAAAGCGTTCTGTAACTGGACGTGCCAAAGTAATAAGCATTTTCCCTCATGGTAGTAATAATGTCTCCGTATTACAGAAGTAGCCCTACAAATAAACTGATCGTTGTATGTCGGCGATGCCCTTCTAAAACCCATGATCACGCATCCTCCGGGAGACACTGCCATTTCCTGTTCTTGCTTCACTTTCTCATTATTGCAAACGAGTTCAGGCCTATGAAATCCAGTCCTCTGTAGTGCCAGAAAATGACACCTGGCTGACCCCCACGCTGGGGGGACTTGGACTAAGAGCTATATGGCCAGACCTTATTAATTTTTGGGGGGGAGGAGGACAGGATAAATTGACTGGGCTGGGCTCAAACAAGATCCTCCTGCCTCTCCCTCCCAGAGTGCTGCGGCTACAGGCTTGGACCCCCACTCGCAAGGCTTTTTAATGGTACATTTGCATGCCGTCTTGGGAGAAGGAAAGCTATGATTCAACTGGAGCACCTGGACAGGGCAAGGGAAAAGGGCTCCTTATATCTTTGTTCCCCTCTTAAAAGGCAAAGAAATCCAAAAAGGCCCCCAGCCCCGAGCCGCATACCTTTATGGTCTTCAAATCTTGCCATTGCGAGCTACCATTTTACAGCCTCCCAAGAATTTGCTTTGTTAGCCCAGTGAAATACCGTATTAAGAAAAGTATCCTTAACTCTTCTGCTAGGTTGAAGAATTGGCCCTCCGATCAATGATCAGTTCTGCAGGAGACAATGGGAAGGTGTCTCCTCACCCGGCACCTGAACTGTCACAGGATGTAAGCTTCATCAGTCACCGGGAGAGAGTGCAAAGCTTGCGCGGCTCGTTGTGGCTTTGGTCCGACATTGTGGTAAAGCATACTACCAAACCCAGAGAACTCTGGGAAGTGCCAAGGTGTTGGGGCTTAAACCCGGGGCATGAGCATGGTAGGCTGCAGCCTCTACTTAGTTTTTGAGTTGAATTAGCTGGCTACTCTGTATTAGTTGTTTATGTAGGAAATAATCATAGGTAAATAGATGCACCTTGAGACCACAGTTTTAAAATTGGACACACAGGTGTAAATATCACATGGTTTCTCTTATGTGAGAAACCCAAAATATGAACAAAGTGCAGAGTAAAAGAGGAAGTAGGGAGAGCTTTTTCAAATGAAAAGGGTGGCGGGAAATGGAGGAAAAGGGGATGAACAAAAGAATTGGGAGAAAAAGTAGAGACAGTGTTTTAGGGAAGAGAACCAAGCCATGGGAGCAGATGGGAAGGGGACAGAAAAGAATCAGGGTGTGTTGTGTACCTGTGTGGACTCGCCATGATCGGCAGACATCAAAGTGTACAAAGTATGTAATGAAAAAAATTTGCTGCTTTGGGGCCAGGATCCTTCTGGCTCCTCATCTCTAATGTTCTTGGTGACACAGGTGTTGGCACATGTAGACAATGAAGCATCCATCAACCAGACAGCGCTGGAGTTGCGCACGGGGAGCCATATGATGGAGGAGGAGGAGGAAGAGGAGGAGGAAGAGGAGGAGGAAGAGGAGGAGGAATCCGATTCCTGAAGTGGGCAGGAGCCTGGGTTACAGAAATGAAATTTCTGGCTCACAAACACTTTCTGCACAGAGGTCATCTTGCATGGGCCCTTGGCCTGCTTGAAGAAGAAAGAACTAGAGGAGGTGTAGTGTACAGATCTCTGTGTAGCCCGGGCTTCACAGAGGTCTATGAAAATTGGTGACAGAAATTCTGGGCTGGGACTGTAGCTCAGTAGGGAGTGCCTACCTCACATATGCAGGACCTGGGTCCATTCAGTCCCTGCTACTGAGGAGAAAAACAGCAACATGGTAAAGGAGAAATGTGCTGGCTTAACGGAGCCACGTAGATGGAACAGTGTCTAATCTGCTCAGATTGTGTGTCACGTGTTATGAGCAGATTTCTGGCACTTTCCCAACGGGCTGAGTTGAAAACCAAACTGGTCTTTGCAGGAACAGTGCCTCTGTGATGAAAACCAATCGAGGACTGTTTGCTGCTATGCGCCCTGTGAGC